GGTGCTTGCTTTACTTATATAGAGCCAGCGTCCCGTGAGGTCACCTCCTGCTTTTTAAATCACATCCCATCGATACGCGACGGTCACCTAAGGACTGGCCAGGCACGGTGCTTGCTTTACTTATATAGACCCTCCTGGCAACCAGCTTTCCGTGAGGTCAGCTCATGAATTTTAAATCACATCACATCGATACGCGACGGTCACCTAAGCACTGGCCAGGCACCGTGCCTGCTTCACTTATATAGAGCCAGCTGGCAGCCAGCTTTCCGTGAAGTCATCGCATGACTTTTAAATCACTCACATCGAGGCGCGGGATGTGGTGTTGGCAGCCCTTGGCCAAATAAAAATCCGGATCCGTAAATGGAACGATTTATATTATTTATATATATTATGTAGTAGCACAAGAACCTGAATGCGAAAAAGATACTGCAGAAAGAAACGAACATTATGGATCTCTTGTCTTTAATGCTTGTGCAGCCCGGTGAAGTACTAGTTATTTGCCGTTCAGTGTGAAGAGTGATTATTCTGGAGATAATACCAACAGAATAATCAATTATTCGCAAAAGAGCATAGACTGGAAAAATAGGGTCTCGCATTTTCGAAAAGGCTTTAGTGTTCTGAAGTGATGTTGCAAATTCTATTAAGTTTACGCGTTAAATAGGAATCCAAAACAAACATGGAAAATATGGAAGCGAGAGAACGCAGCCAATAATTCAAAAATCGCCCAAAGCGGGTCTAAGCGCGTTTTACATTACCGTTTATAATTATGTAAATAAATATTTACCGTTAATTTGGGCTTTGTTGGCTGCGCACTGCCATCCTGCAGCTGCTTCACATCCTTGGTGCGTATTAGTTTTGGTATTAGTGTTGTTGTTGTTACGCCGGGCGGCAAAGGAATTTTAAATTTGATCTGCAAGTAAACGCAAAAAGCATGAAAAATGTGGTATAAACGCGTACGTGAATAAAAAATTTATTTATAAAAAAAAAATTGTCAACTTAAACGGTCGGTGCGGCGGTGCGTATGAGCAACGCAAACAACAGTTTATGCCATAATAACACACACAGGAGAAAATCAAGCTTAGAAATTAAAAAGTTATTAACTATCAAGGACACTTCAAGTCATTTGCCATTTGAGCATCATTAACAGAAGCCTACGCAAACGCACGCATACATACAAACACACACAAAAGCAAGCACTTTGCACTACTATTAACACTTTAGTCAATTGGCCCACTTGTTGTCAGCGCTTGCACACACAAGTATATATAATATATAATATATAGTTATGCGCACATTGTCTGATGGAATTGAGCAAAAATGTATATTTACAACAATAACAGTAAAAACAACCAACAAAAAATATATAATTTATAAATATACCCTTCATAAATAAAAAAGTTTCCATACAAGCATTAAATTCCGCTCGTGCAGTTTGTATGACAGCTATATGCTATAGTAAACCAAACTGCACAATATATTCGGAGCTTGTAGCGTTGCCTTGGACAATATGCTATGCTAAATTTCGGGAAGCTACCATGTCAAAAAAAAAGTTTTCCATACAAGAATTGAATTTTGATAGTTCAGTTTGTATGGCAACTATATGCTATAGAAGTCTGATCTGAATAATTTCTTCAGAGATTATAGCGTTGGTTTAAGAAATATTTTGTACCAAATTTCGTGTTGATATCTCGTCAAATAAAAAAGTTTCAATACAGGAACTTGATTTTGATCGGTCAGTATAATCGTATTTACTTTATAGGCTCTCCGATGTATCCTGCTGGGCGTTACCAACTTCGTGGCATATTCGTGGGTATATTCTACCCTGTTATAGGGTATAATAAACCACCCACCTACATACCATATAAATATGTATGTATGTGTGTATGTAAGCATATGCAAGCAGCAGCTTGTATAAAATTAACGAGAACACACACGCATACATATGTACATGTTTATTTAAATATATGCAATGTTCAACACTGTACAAACACACACACATACACACACGTCCGAGCGCGTGCGGCACTTTAATCGATATTTGCAACAAGTACCACTCAACATAAATGCTGTTGCTGCTGCCAGCGACAACGCTGTCTGTGCCGCTGCTGCTAAATGCTAGCGCACGCCTCCATGGCGTACTCCTGCAACCACATACGAATATGTTGTTGTTGTATATTTTTGCTCGATTGCGTGTTTATGTTCTTTTGTGCAAAATGTCAGGGTTAGCTCAGCGCTGAACGGCTTTTCCCCGTACTTGCTGCTTACTGCTGTTGAGCCAAGTAAATCCTGAATATATTCTTGTTAGCGATAATTAGAACGCGTATTAAGATTCTCGCAAGAGTATTACAAGAATTTTAAAATGTAGCTAATTAATTGGTATATTATGTAAATAAAGTTGTTAGAGCATTAGCGACTGCGATTCCTAAATTAGTTTCTTTGGTCGTGGCGTATGAGTATGCGCAGCTGGTCGGCCATTTAATTAGTAGTGCGTTCGTTTCAATATCGTAAAATAGTTGTACTTTGCATATATAATATTTTAAATTTTCTAAAGAGGTTAAGTTTTGAGCGACTTTATATTTCGCGGTTAGGTTTCCGATTGTGCTACAATTTCTCGAGGTATCAGATAGGTAGGTAGAGTGGCTGTCTGACGACGCATCTAAGCCTATAGGAGGCTCATTGTGATACCACTGGAACTAATGTTCCCTCACTCTATTGTATTGAACCAAGCTGTGCTTCTGATAAAGTTTATCAGTATAAATAGTTTTAAGTGCGCAACTTCCGATACGTCGTTTAGGAATACTCGACCGATAGTTGCGATTATTTTTTTGCAAAGAGCGTTACATTCGCATAAAAGACTTTTTACAGTGTCCTCTTCTTCTACCTCCTGACAGCTTCTACAATAGTCATTGTATGGTAAACCTAGCCTGCTGGCATGTCTACCAATTAGACAGTGACCTTCTAGAACTGCTACCAGAGTTCTTATGTTATTCCTTTTGAATTTAAATAGTCGGAAACTTTGGCAGCACTTATGTAAGTGCAGATCCTCTGTTAAATGAAAAGCTGTTAGCGAAGCGTCAGCTCTAATTATGACACGATTGAGACATATTATTCGTCAGTCGATCCATACAATAACGGATACTTAAATGTCTGCTTTTCTCCCATGAAGAAATACTTAGTCCAGTGATTACGTGGGAGAGATATGAGATAGGAGAGTAGGTTAGCTTTAGCGCATTGAAGTTCCACACTCCGGCTTACGATGCTTCTTGCTACTATAAAAAATCGACTTTAAACAACCCTATATCTCAAACCCTAACAAAACGTAACCTTTCCTAGACCTTTACAGGCAAGCTAACCATCCCATCAGCAACTAAAAGCAGTCTATATATAAAATGCCGTAATTTCTCAGACCTTAAATGAATCTATAAAGTAATTTTCTTCTTCTTTGAAGCTTTTGCACCATATGTTTTTGCCGTTATTTTCATTTTTTGCCTCCACTGCTGTTGTTGACGTGGTTTTTAAATAACATGAATAGGAAAAAAATTGAAATTATGAAGGGGGTTGCAAAAAATAGCCGCAGACGCTGGAAAAGCAATATAGAATAAAATAAATGAAAAATAATAATAAATCACACACACTTACACACATATAATACGCATACTACTACACTGTATGTGTGGATGATTTGAAAAATATTAAGAGAATTTAAAGCTATTATTGCTGTAACTGTGTGCGCTAGCCAAGTGACGCTTTGCCAATCAACCTTCACCAGCGACACCAGCAACATAGCAACAACCACAATTGATGGCGCTTATCTTCTGCTTCGTTGGCTACGCGCTCGTTTGGACCAGCTGTTCGTTAGGACGGTCGATTGGACATTTGTTGCTGGCAGTGTTGCCAAAGATATGTAGACGGTTGGTTGTTGATGCGGCTGCAAATCTGCAGCAGTTTATATTATATACATATGTATGTAGTTATATTGTGGTATATAGTGCCGCTGTTATGCTTGTCGAACTACGATGCCTACCTAAACCACAACGAAACGCCGGTACTAAACATTCGGGATTCGCTTATTACTGCCATTTCATGCAAAATAACCGTTGTGAGGCCTCTAAATCTTAACTAAAAGTTCGCTCAAGATTTTGCTTTCATTTGCAATATGTATTTGGCAGAGTAGCTTCAAGTGGGTTGTAACTTGCTAGCCGTAACCAATTGTTGGCTTTGTTATGGGTCTGTCATAACTCAAAACTTTACGTATGGAAATGCCGGGATTGACCCTTTTCAAAATCACGAAATTTAAACAATTTGTGCAATTTATGTGTCGGTCATAACATAAAACTAATGAATATCACGCATGTTGAAAGGTATTCCGAAAAATCCCGAATAGTCGGGATTGTTTTTTTTCAAATCCCGAAATTTTCGGGATTCATATATTGTCGTTTGGACATTTGCTGGCTCAGTTGGTTGTACGCTTGACCGGAAACGCATCACCGCCACATATTTTCAGTCCTCTTTTTTAGTCAATAGCACATAGCCGTCATATCCGTTGCTCCCACAAAACTACGTACTTAAATACTTCACATCCGGCCAATGTTGTGCCTGTAAGCTCTGGGCTAGTACGCGGAAGTAAAAGGATAAACTGTTTTGCAATTCAGCATCCCAGCATTCTAAATTTCCAAGCTTCCAGGTCATTGTCAATTTACCGCGTAGCATTGTTTGCGTTTGCCTTGCATGTCCTTCGTGAGCTTGTTTTTATTGTTTAGCTATATTGAGTGTAAATTGCAGACCAGCTTTATTTATATTGCTATATTGATATACTATATGTGTATGTACATATGTATGTATAGAGTAGTATTAAGGACCTTTGATTTTTTGTAGTGTTTTTTTGACATTTCTCTTTTATCTTTTTCGTGCTTATCAACTCAAAGGGATGTAAAATAAATTATGTTTTTGTCATTACAATGCGACAGCACTTAATTGAGTTCTTATCAATTACAACGCATCGCAGCGGAAATAAATGCTTCCAAAGTGCAATAAAAGAGAGAGAGTGAGTTTACAAAGAAAAACACAAAAAAATAACACAAATCACAAGAGCAACAGACAATAGACAATAGACCTCGTTGTGCAAGATGTTAACCAGTAATAAGCAAAAAAAAATCGAAATGAAATAAAGTTCATGGGCGTATTTGGTGCCATTATGCAAGCTGTCGCCATTTGCAGCGGAGATTAGAAGGTCAACGGGGGCATACAAACAACACCACAAACAAAACTCATTCATTTGAATTATACATGAGCATGTATGCACTTGTGGGCTGTTTACTGTACATGTAACTCACACACACACACATACACACAAATTTGTGTAACGAAATGATGTCCTTCAATGTCTCGAGTGGACCATTCGCTTTTGTTTCGTTTCATTCGGCGTGAGACTTCAGCTGGTAAATGCTTAATACGTTCTTGCGTCTGAAGTGCCTTTGCTTAATTAAGCGTCGCTTTCACTGCAGAGCTTTCGTATTATTTTAATCGACTAGAAATCGTTTTAATTAGATTATGCTCACAAAATGGCTGTGAAAATTAGTTATGTAAAAAAATTAGATTATATATATACAAAATCTTAGTTCGAGTCGGTGCGCTCGGGAGCTATTAAGAAACAATAGCTTAACAGTGCACAATTAAGAAAACACTTTGCAAGCGTTTAACGGGTTTGCAGTTGCCTAGAGCAGTTAGTAAGACGGCAGCTCTTACAGCAACCGCTAGAAGGTTGAAAGTATAAAAGAGCTGTAATAAAATTTATGAAACACAATGCATAACAGGATTATCACATTTTGGTAGTTGAAAAAGTGTAGGCATTGAAGTGGTCAGCCAGCTTTAGATTTTACTATTGATATTAGTAGAAGGATATTATAGCTT